TTATTTCTCCTGAATTTCAGGCTGGTTTCTGGCCATCAGGCTAGGACCAAACCTGTTCGGCCTGCAGTAGTCAGTGTGCCTTTTCTGCAGGCTTAAACTCAGGTGGGAGCTGCTAGATGGAGCCAGAAGTTGTTTGAGTTCTGAGCTCAGTTGGACTCTCTTTAGGATGGCTCCCAGACTTATCACCTCTCTCCCATGGGATAGCCAAATTTGCTTTACTCACCACGAGTGCAGTCCGTGGCATCCACTCCATTAAACTGTTGGATCTCTCTGTGGATGTTTCTGGGGTTCTTAGCAGTCACCAAGTCTTTACAGGTGTGAAGTACACTTCTTGTGCAGTAAGTCCCAATTTAAGGAAAAGGCACTGCCCACTAGGTCTTTCTTCTTCATTGAAATTTCTTTTTTTGCTCTCCCTATAGGCTTCAGTTCTCACTTCGGATTCTTTCTGGGTTCAGGGGACCCACTTCTGGCCTGATTCTTCAAACTCTTCCTATAGACCTATTCCATGGTCAGGTATAGTCACAGCAGTGACCCTGATTCTATGGCACAGTTTTGTGTATTCATCAGCTTTCCTGTTGCTGATACATGATACCTGATGCCCAGCACTTGAAAAAGGAGAGGTTTAATTTGGTTCATAGTTTTAGGGAATTCAGTCCATAGTTGGCTAGCAAGGTGGAGTTAATGCATAGGTCATGGAAGCTGGGAAAGAGGAAGGGGACAGTGCCAGTGGGACCATACATCAGTGTTACATCTCCATGATCAACCCAGACACACCCAGAAGTATGCTTTACTAATCCTAAGCAGTCACGTTGACACAATTAATTTTAACCATCACAGCATCTTAGGTCTCCCTGAATTAGTGTCTGTTCAGATCCAGTGTCCAGTTATCCCTGATGAAGTGTGGTTAATTCCTCTCCTACAGTGTATAGTCACTTTGGCAAATGGTTGTATGTTCTCTTGAAAAGGCTAGGAGGAAGATTTATAGTATGACTTTTTGGCAGTATGTCAGGATTCCTAATGGGACTCTTTTTTTCTTTGTTCAAAGAGTCCTGGATCTGCAAACTCACTCAGGTATGAGAAGTGGTTGTGGACTGGTAATCTCCTTTGTGTTGATTTAAATCATATTTCTGGTAATTAGACTAAAAGACTTTTCTATTTACAGAAATCAGATAAACCTTACGTAGACTACTCATCTAATTTTACTTCTAGGAATTCCATGATCAGTTAACCAGTGCTAGCATTCTTCATGGGTCAAACCTTTTTGTGCATTGCATTGACTCTAATGCTTGTGATAGTAACCACTTTCTTGCTGACATTTAAATGTTAACACTTGGCCTGTATTATCCAAAGTCCCACTATTCCCATTGAATGGACCCTAGTTTGATAGTACCGTGTCTTATTGTTATGGGCTTTCTAGACACATAGAACTCAGAGAAGCTTTGATTTCTTTCACCAATATATTTCTCAAGCATTGGTAACGGAAGTGTTTTCTGGCTCTCCCAAGGGACATAGGTAGCAGATGAGCAGACTTAATAGATACTTTCTATATAGTTGAAAGAAAATTTTTTTCTTTAAACACTCCAGAATAAATACCAGTGTTTGTAAGAAAAGAGAAATCTTTACTTATGACCCCAGTGATTAAGGTGATTAATGTACAGAATTTGTCTGAGTATGAAAAGTATAACTGTCAGCAAATTGTTTATATTTAGAGCTTTTAGAATGAAAAGAAATTTTCTTTTTCTTTTTTTTTGTCTTTTTGAGACAGGGTCTTGCTATGCAGTTCAGGCTGGCTTTGAGCTAACTTTTTAGTCCAGGCTGATCTCGAACTTGCAATGATCCACCTACCTCAGCCTCCCGAGTGCTGGGATTACAGGAGAGCGCCACCAGGCCTGGAGAAAAGGAATTTTCATAGTTTTCAATATATTATATAGTAAATATCAGGTGAAAAGAAGAAACCAGTTGAATGTTGTTTTTTGTTTTATAAGATACGATAAAAAATAAACATAAAACAACAAAAATTTCTATTCCAAGCATGGATGTGACTAGTCATGTTTTATCCAAATATATCTTTTTCTTTTTCTGTTTTTTTTTTTTTTTTTTTTTTTTTAATACAGGGTGCCACTATATAGTCTAGGCTGCCTTCAACTTACTGTGTAGCCTAGGCTAGCCTTAGATTGATGACAGTCCTCCTGCCACAGCCTCCTGAGTGCTGGGATTTCACCACCATGTCTGGCCAATCATGTCTATTTTCAAATAATTTTCTTCTTTTGGGATCTTGCAGGAAGCAGAAATAGGCAAGAGAATGGTTGAGAAGGTATGGGAGATAGATTCACCTCATTCATTGCACTATGGAATTGCAAGTTACTGCAGTAAAAATACTAACATGAAAAAAGGTAGATGAGCGAGCCATATAAAAAACACTTAGTTTTTGAGATTGTCTGAGAGGAAACATTTAAATGCAGGTATCTGGAACATTTTCTTATACCCTACTCCATCTTGTAGGCTACTCATTGAAGGAAAGATTTTCAAAGTGTAGTGAGAGCTGAATTTTTCTTAAAGTGAGAGGGAGAGATTGAAGCAGGGATTGGTAATGTAAAAGCAAAGCCTGTTCCTTGTGTACAGAGACACATAATACAGGGAGAGGAGACAAAAAACAGATTTTGAATTGATATTTTTTTCTTAGTGCTAGGGTTTGGACCCATGCTAGGCAAGCATTCAGCCCCTGAGCTGTCTCCTTAGCCTTTGTTTTTAAGTTTTGAGATAAGGTCTTGCTAAGTTGGGCCTGCTAGCCTAGAAGTCGAGATCTTTCTGCCTCAGCTTCCCAAGTAACTGTAATTACAGGTACTATACCAGCCTGACCTGCTTGTTCTTCATTTGGAATTTGACTTTTGAAAAGTAAATTGCTATTATCATTCAAATCTTTTTCTAAAGCTCTATTTAGTGAGTTTTTTTTTTAACCTTTTTCTGATAGGATTCTTTTAATTGTTGTGTCTGGACCATAGTGTGCACTGATTAGAATATCATTAGGTTAAATTAAATCAGTCAATAAGATTCTTGGTTCAGAGAGACCCTTTATTTCTATTCGTTAGCCTTTTGTAATGTTAAAGGACCAGTAAGGTTTTTTTTTGGTACCGGGGATTACACTCACAACCTTGTGTTTGCCAGGCAGTTGCTTGTGCCACTGAGCCATATCCCTGGCCAGTAAGTATTTTTTAATAATGTGTATTAGCAGGACATAGGTGTACAGTAAACTTCATTGTATATATATTTCAGTCAAGAAAACTTTATATAATGTAGAATATAAAAATGTTCATGGGCCATTTAGGAGAGGCCATTTTGTCCCCTTACTCCTCAACACACGTATTAAGATGATTTTATTTTTCTGAATTTCTGAGAGGAAGTTTTCGCCCTTATAAAAACTAGCAGACTTCCTGAGTGTCCTTGAATGATTTATTCATGGCCTACCTTGTGTAGTGGCAAAAGAAAAGAATTATACATTACTTTTTTATCTGGTGCAAGAGAGCAATTTAAAGAAATATACTTGGTAAGACCTGTAATAAAATTTTTAACGACTTGTCTTTCCAGCTCATACTAATTACAAAGAGTATTATCTCCTCCATGACTCAGAGATGTGTATTTTTTTCCTAGCTAAAATAAGTGTTATTTCCATATTACTTTTGGTCTTTATGTCAAATATTATTCTTCTGTTTAAAAAATCTGTTGTACTCATATCTAAGGTAGTGTTTAAGTATATAGTGATAAATACTATAAATTTACTAACATTTTCCTGAGAGTAATATAGGATGAATAAAGTTAGTCTGTCATTAACTGATAATTTTTCTTTCTTTCCTTTATTATTGTCTCTTTTCCTGTACCCTACAAATTACTGTCTTAGGATACTTGAAAAACAGATGAGTGGTCTCATTTTAATTACTTGCTATGTCACCCTCTTACTAGATTATATATTGTGCATGGACAGAGGCTACACTGATTCAGTTCACTTCCACATGCCTAAAGCCTCAGATTAGTACATACTTGGAATTTGGTAAATTAATTGAATGAATGAATAATAAAATCCATATTATAATACTTTTTGTAACAATCTCTGTTAAAAATATATTGTTTCTTATATATTGAAATATTTAGATTATAAAATATGGGGAGAAATTATATCAAGAAAAGAATATTTTTAGTGTATTTTCAAACTAAGTTTGATACTTGTTCTTTAACACTAACGGTTAGAGTAGTAAAGTAGTAAAGAGTATTAAAATAAAAATCAATTTGAAGTGGTGTTTGAAACTCAACTTTTGATTGTTTTGGATTAATATTTGGAATTTTTTTGACCATGTGACCTTGATTTGCTCAGGTAATTTAATTTATGGCCTAACTAAATTAGACCAAGGGCATAACATAGACATACTCATATTTTTTCAATAGATATCAGTCTTAAAAAACTTTAATTGAAACATGATGTGGGCTGTGTGCATTATAGCATTTTTATTGTTTATTTCAAATTGTAACTTGAGAATTACACAGATTGAAGAATATTTCCAAGCATAATAAAAAACTATATGCTCTTGGGATCAAAAGATATATTTTAGCAAAATAGTACGTTATAAAAGACCTGAATGATCAGAAACACAAGAAACAAGTAGGTTTATGTAATTTCCCAAAACATTGTCAGTGCGTTCATTTTATTGTTGGATAAGAGGTATATACAAACATTTCTGTTACTTAAGAGATTAAAAAATTACTATCATATGGATTGTGATCAGGTAGAAAGTAGCCATAAATTTTAACTTTGCATATTATGAACTTTAATCTCCAAAGTGATTAATACTTGGATATATAGCAGCATACTTGGAGAATAAAATGCTACTTGATATTTACTAATAATATCTTTTCTGTTATATCTAATTTTAATATCTCTGTTGTTATTTGCTTGTCTTTTGTGTCTATGTGACTTTAAGAGTATATTTTTATGCTATATTTTTCTCTAGGCATTCAGAAAGACAAGGATAAACCTCCCAGCTTCTCTGTTGTCCTTGAGAATTTGAGGCACACCTTGACAGATTACCAGAGCAAGCTGGAAGATGCATCTAATGAGGTAACACTTGCACTGTTTGGCTCCACTCATATAGCCTTCGGCCTGTACCAGTATGTATTCCTTGCTTGTTACAAAGGTCGAAAAGATTGGAATGTTGAATTGACAGCTTCACAGATATAAAAAATAGTCTGTCACTGTTTTTTTCGTAAGTGTGGCATAATATAGTCATTCACTTATGTTTTTATAACTCTTCAGACACATTTATTTTCAACATTATATAGATGTTGACACTTCTTAATTTATCTTAATTTAATAAAAAACTGCAAGTCATCTAAATTAATACATGTTTATTAAAATGTTAATGTGTTTTATGATATGGAATAGCTAGTGGAAATTTAAGTCTTGTCAATATTTTAGTTTGATAAACTGTGGAAGTCCTAATAGAAGAGAGAAATTATTTTCAATCTCTAAAGGAAGTGAAGTGGTTAGAAGTTTTCAGAAACAAATATTCTTCTGATGTAGCATGGAGGCTTTTAGTTTGCTGATTGAAAAAGCTCATGCTTCTGTCTCATTTGTTTAATCTGTGAGTTGATAATTTTCTTGGGTATTAAAATGTTTTACAAATTCATGCTTTAAGAATTAAAGAATTTGTCTACTTATATCTTTTCAAATTAGCATATGAAATAATTATGTTAAATACAATTAGTTAACAAAATAGATTGTTTGGCTGAGGATGTCACAAAGCAAAGATTTTAGTTTCATTTTTGCAAAATCCACGAGACCATTAAGTTAACATATTAGTAGAAGCTCATTTTAGTTAAGTAGGGTGAACAAAGAAGGAAAAGTGAGTTGTCTTGATACCCTGTGTAAATGTTCAAAAGGAAAAAAAGAATAACCATTGAAATAACTAAATTTCTATGAAGAACAAAGTATTGCTAAGTCTTTCCTTCTGAGTTAAGAGAACCTGTATTCCTAGTGGTTTATGAAACTCTTCTGAGGCCCACGTCTGGAAGCTGCAGGGTAACTAGGAACATATTACCCACAGCGAATTGTTATTTGGGAGGATGAATGTCACATGATCCTTAGCACAGTTGAAAAGTCGACTCAGCAGGCTTTGGCTTAGTAATGTGCTTTGTTGTGAATCAGTGCCAGAGACAGCAGTGGGGAGACCAAGGGGGTGGCTGCAAAGAAAGCAAAAAGAGCAGTCTGACAGAAAGAAGAATGAACTGTCAAAGAAAATAAATCACACGTGGTGCAGGACCAACTGATGACCTGCCACAAGCCTTCCCAGTAGGACTTCATGTGACTAACCCTGAAGTTGTCATATGGAGAGAGACCAGTAAATACCTTCATGATGTACAGAAAAACAGTCTTTGGCTCTGTTCTTTTTTCTTTCCTTGTAGACATCACTGCTTCTGGCATTTTGGTCCAGTAGGATTTTCAGAATAGAGTTATATTTGTTTACAGTAAGAGTGAAATCTTTTATCTAGACATCTAGAAAAAATTCAGTAATATTGCTGACATTTTAAGAATGCTTTGTTTTCTTTTTAATCATGTGAGCTTATGACAGAGAATATGTAATATTTAACCAAAAGAATAATTGTTATGACTCTTAATTACTGTTGAAAAATGTGTATTTTAAGCATTTGCATAAAAACACTTAAAGGTTAGCTTTTGAGTTACCCATCCTTGAGAAATATAAAAAAGTTATTTTTTTTTTTTAATCAGCTAAACAGCATGAGTGATGCTAAGGAAAAGGCATCTAATGAACTTGATTCTACCAAAATGAAGATTGAATCTCATACTAAAAATATAAAGGTAATATGATTAGAGTTTTTCAGTTTTTATTAAGAAAAAGATACTTTGGGAATATTGTAGAGATAGCTGAAAATATATGTTACTATTTATAAAGTTTGTTAATATTCACTTTTAATAGTTTGTTGATCAAAGTAACATTTTTTCAGTTAAAAAATAAAACTTGATTACAAATTATCTTGGTTAAAGGAAAAATTGATTTTTCTGATGTAATTATAATACAGCTTTGTAAACAGATTGAGATTGAATATTGTCTTGCCTTACATACCTATATATATTAAAAAAATTTTACATAACCACACTTATATTTAGAGTCAGTTTTCATCATTTTAGGGTGGAGCTATTGGTTTTAGTACTTTATGTCTGGTAATGTGTTGAGACTACAGCTGGCTATGGTACAGGAAAAGTTTTCTGTGCTATTTTTATGTAGTGCATATTTGCAAAATTTTAGTTGCACAATATTGTTGGAATTTTGTTGTGTAGGTTCATATTTAGTTTGTTATGGATGCAGCTCAATAGAATTTGTTAAGGTTAAGGAATAGGTGAGCTGCACTTTATGCTACATACTTGAAATTTTTATTGGTATTTGGAATGTCATCAGAAAGAAAATGTTCTTAAACGTAAAAAGATAATATTTTAAAAAATGTTATTAAAATGCATTGAACTATCAAACTTTTTAAATAATGAATTGAAAGGAAAATTGCCTTTATAGTGTTTTTTTTTTTTTGGTACCGTGGGCCAAATTCATGACCTCCCGCTTGCCAGGTACGCACTGTGTCACTGAGCTATATCTCTGGCTAAAGAGTTTTTTGGAATAAGGCATTTTGTTAACATTTTGTACACATGTTCAAATATAACAATTTTCCTAATTTTTGAGCTAAACTTTCACAATTGGAAAATTCTTTCAGGAAAATACTTCAAAGATTAGCTTTAAATCAAATGCTTCATTGTTTTGTATTAAAGCTTTGAAAGTTTTCATTATCTATTTTACATTAGTGTGCCTTCCCACTGAGGACTTTTCTTACAATCTTTTTATTTGATGCCTCTGACAGGAACTTCAAGATAAACTGGCTGATGCCCATAAAGAGTTAAGTCACTTACGCACTAAATGTGCAGACCGAGAGGCTTTAATAGGCTCTTTAAAAGTAGAACTACAAAATGTGCTGCACTGTTGGGAGAAAGAAAAGTCACGAGCAGTCCAGTATGAAAGTGAACTGCAGAAGCTTTCGCAGGTTTTCCAGAAGGACACTGAGGTATTGCCTGAGACTGGAAGAGTAAAAAAAGACCTGCCATGGATCTGGGGTTTATGCATTTATTTACATCTAGTGACTATTTTTACTATTTTAGTATACTTAATTTTAAAAAGTTGCTTGAGTTGAGTATTTTGAAGTGACAGCTGCAAAATGAGCTGTTCTATTATTTTGTGTTATTCTACTTTGTGAGAAAAGTAATATAATTTAATTCTCTATCCTTGGGCCATGAATTCTTTATCATATTTCAAGCTGCTATGCTCCTAATGATCTCTTCAAAGTTTGCTTGTTTCCCAATGACAAACTTATTTTCATTTCAATAATTCTATAAGTTGGTGTGGTAGATTTTCTTTTTTTTGTAATCAAATAGATCTGGACAAGATATTCTACTTAGTCTCTATATTTCAGTTTCTTTATTTGTAAAACAGGAGTAATACCTACTTTTGTAGACTGTCTCTGGTCTTTATAGGGATAGTAAAAAAAATTCTAGAAAAATAAAAGTTCTGTGAAATCAAAACTTCATTTGGGTATCCTGAATAGTTATCTATCCATTTTTATTTATTAATGGCTTGTTAAAGTATTATGACAAAATTTTCATATTCTGTATGAACTTGTGTGATTGAAATTGTTATATTTTTTGGATGGTATTCTTCTTCTTTTTTTTTTTTTTTATTGGTACCGGGGTTTGAACTCATAACCACATGCTTGTAAGGCAAGGCGCTTATGCTGAGCTAAATCTCCAGCCCCAAAATTGTTATACTTTTTACACAGGAGTAGCCACACACTAGCTAGTGTGGCTAGTGAAACCAATTTATCCAAAACTATCTGCATATTGAGTTCATTATTTTAGCAAGTCTGAATGCAAATGCTAAGGGAATAAAAAGGAAACAAACATTTTTTCTACTCTTCTTACAGTCTGGGATTTAAATTGTGTCCACAAGAAGTTGTTGGAATTGCTCTACACATCAGATAGTGATTAAAGTAAAGGAAACTAGAAGCCTGACTATTGTAAAGTCAGCATGTCTACTGCATTGTAGTTGAGTCCAACATGTGTGAATTGATTTTGGATCTTGTGAGTTTCTTTTCATGCCAAATGGGTGATTATCATTCTTGGTTTATCACAGCCCAAGCAAAAAGGACATAATAGCAACACCAGAAATTATCTTCAAAGATGAGCTTCCTTGAGAATGAACAAGAATATTAAGAAGGCAGATTTTAGTATCTGAATACCATATTTTGATAGTTATACTTAATATAAATTTTGTGCATTTTGACCCAGTTAAAAATGCAAAATTGCCAGGGAATGGTGGCACATGCCTATAATCCCAGCGTTCTGGGAGGCTGAGGCAGCAGAATTGCAAGTTTGAGCCCAGCCTGTCAATTCAGTGAGTTAGTAAGACTGTATCACAGAAAAAAAACAAGCCCAAAAACTTCTTAGCAAGACCCTGCCTCTAAAAGGCCTGGGGATTTTTGCTCAGGGTAAAGGTCCTGAGTTCAATTCATAGTGTTGAAAAAAAAGTAAAAGTCATCTTTAACTGTCTATAAAAGGACAATGCATAGGGAAAATACATTTATTAAAAAATCTTTTGATATCTTAATCCAAATTTGTGATTTTTAGAACATTTAAAAATTTTGGTGTTTAAATTAGTATATCTGGAAAAAAGTGAAGTAGCACATAGGGTCAATTAATGACACACATTTTGAAATGTTCAGGAAAACTAACCTTACAATTTCTAATTACAAAACCTTCACGTATGCTGTATTTAGGGTTTGTTGTTACTGTTATTTAATCTAGATTATTAGAATTTCCTATGATTTTCTCATAAATTTTCCTTTTTTAAAAGTTTTCTTTACCTGCTGATTTATTAAAACATATTGAACTTACTTTATCCATATAAAATATTCACTTTTCAGCCTCATAACTGTCTTTGGGACTTTATGGAGGAAATAGTTTATAAAGAGAGCCAGTTGGCATTATGTAACTAAATACTGCTTCCATATTCAAGATAGGTTCAGCTTTATACTGAATTCTAGAGCATAGTAAGTAATTTTAGGTCATTGAATAATGTATAGTTTAGTAACCATAATAATGCTATGCTTTTAAAGGACTTCTTATTTATTTATTTTTTGTTTTTTGAGATGGGGACTCACTATGCAGGCCTCACTATATAGCCTAGGCTGGCCTCAAACCCATGGCAATCCTCCTGCCTTTGCCTCCTGAGTGCTGGGATTATAGAGGCATGTGCTACCATGCCTGGCCTTTTTTCCCTCATATTTCTAACATTTTTGGAAATCTGTCTTGGGAAGCTATCTCTATTTTTTTGGCCTGTTACTCTGTAATATTTTAGACCTTACCAATGTGTCAAATACTGTGCTACATAAATTGGCAAGTGGGATAAACAAATTTTTATATGACTTCCTGCTTTGCGTAAGGAGATTAGAAAAGATTTTTCAATAATAGGTAAGTAAAATGGAATCTCTGAATTAGGAAGAAAGCTGAGTAATTGTGTACATGTGAAGTGTAGATATTGGTATGACTTATAGATATTGGTATAACTTTTTCTTCATTAGAATTGAATGACAATTTTCTCTACATTGCTTTTAGACTCAACATCTGTTTTGGTTAGTGTAAATAAGAAATTGTAGAATTACCATGATGAATTCCAGTTAGAATGCTTATAGACAGCTACACTAGACGGCTTGTGTTACAGCTCAGGAATCTTAGGCCCTGAACAGATGCTTACTCAGATCACAGTCTTATTCAGGAGCAAAGATAGGGTCAGAAACATGGTCTTTGTGGCTTTTAGACATTAGGGTTTGGTTTTGAACTCCAATTGTCAGTGATTTCAAGTATTCTATCTAATGGTTGGTTTTATATGTGAAAAAAGTTATATAAATGACAATATCTGAAACTTGAGAATTTTAGTTTCTAGATTTTAGAAATAAAATTTTCACTGTTTGTATTATGTGCTTTATTTCTTATAATGTTTATATAAAGGAATTAATTTGTCTTTTTCCTGCAGGAGAAACTAACCTTCCTTCATACTTTGTATCAGCACTTGGTAGCAGGCTGTGTGCTCATGAAACAACCAGAAGGCATGTTGGATAAATTCTCTTGGTCTGAGCTTTGTGCAGTCTTGCAGGAGAATGTTGATGCCCTCATTGCAGACCTCAACAGGGCTAATGAGAAGGTAACTGTCCTCAGGCACCAGATACCTCTATTAAATTCAGTGACATTTGTCCACATCACAGTATCATTAAGAGGGGCTGACATTCATCTTATTTCAAAAAGAATTTGGATGTTAATAATTCAATACCATTAATTATGGCTTGTCTACAACTCAGTTTGATGCCATTGCTGTGGGCATGTAAATGTGACTGAAGTCTGTATGAAGTCTCTAAGCTCCACTTTCTGTGCAGGACATGCTAATACTACTAGCCAGTATTAGCCACAGGGACCTAATTAAAAGAAAATAAATTAATCTTACTGATGAAGCAATTCAAAGAACTTAGTCATTTACATTAATAAACCAACTCTTTATGTTAGTGTAAAATAGAAACAGGATGCAGTTATTCAAAAACATTATCTTAAAATTCTTTGCTTAGGAAATAGGTGTTATTTTAAAAGCACTTAGAAAAATTTAAATTATATGTACATGACTTGTTTCTGGAAATACAGCAAGCTGTATGTAAGAAAATTCAGTCTGTATTTTAAAATGTAATATATTTTGTAAGAGCAACACGATAGACTTTTATGGTCACTTTACCATTTTACAAATGCATCTTTTTCTGAAAAAGAAAAAAAAAACCTACTTTCCTTTACAGAAAATTAAAATGGATTAGCAGATCAACATATGTCACTGTTAAAGATATTGATTCTTATCCTTGTTCTATTGAACTGGTCAGAATTGTATTTATGAGGTCTAGTTTCCAGGTCTTAATTACAATGACATTTGGTTCTACAACAGAGGAAGAAAAAAATGTTCAGTATGTTTTTTAAAAAAAGTCTGTTGAATTAATAAAACAATCTGGTTTCAGGGCGAGATTTATTATTCTTAAGCATTTTACCTTGATTCTCTTGACAAACACAATCTTAGGCACTGAGAAGTAGAGCCGAGAAATGAGAGAATAAGTAAGAAATACACAAGCTATTTGTCATTCTGAATATGTGTATAAGGGTTTAACTTACTGATAATTAAAGTGGATGTGTTTTAACCATCTGAGATGGTATTATAAGTTTAATAATTTTCCATAGTTTCAAAACAGCATTAATTGCTCTACCTTTTAGAAGATAAGGATGTTCTTTTTTATTTGCGAACTACAAAATAGAATGTTATACTCCGTTATTATGTATAGACACCTGCAGATTTTCAAATCTTATTTAAACACTCCCTTTCCCATTGAAATATCTCAGTAGCTTGAGCTTTGGTTCTAGAATATCTTTCTTAATCATTTCAAGAAGGTTACAGAATTAGTAACTTCATTAGAAAAAACAAAGAACAGAAAACTTGTCTTAAGTATACAAAACTCCATTTTCTGATAATATATGATAATTTAACCTGTTAATTTCCACTTTTTGCTTTTTTAAAATTAAAATTTTATTTTATTTTTCTACATATTTGCAGCACATAACGATTATATTGCTCCTGGGGAATTGGTACATCTTATCTCTTTTTTTTTTGCTCTCTTTCCCTCTCTTCCATTCCTTCTCCCTGCATCCTTGGTCCCCTTCCCTTATGCAAGAGATCTACTTGCTGTTATCTTTTATTCTACTCTGTAATTTATTTATATTTTGGTTTTTTTATGTTACAGAAATCATGCAGTGTTTAAACTCTGGGTCTGATTTACTTCCTTTAATGTTATGGTCTCAAGTGAATCCATTTCCCAGAGTTGACTCAAGTTCATCCTTCTTTATGACACAGTAACACTCCATTATGTATAATACCCTTTACCCATTCATCTGTTTGGGGGTTGCTTCCAAGATTTAGAGTTTTGGTGCTATAAACACTTATTCCTGTTTCTTAAGTATGTACATGTGAACTTAAAATTTTTGTATGATCTTAAGGAATAAAGTAAAATAGAAAATTTGGTATGCTTTGGGAAGGTGCTATAAAGAAGTTTTTTTTTAAAGTATGTCTTATTGTCTATTTCACTTCCTCTTATAGGTCAACCATCTAGAGTATATCTGTAAAAACAAGTCAGACACAATGAGAGAACTTCAGCAGACCCAGGAAGATACCTTTAACAAAGTGGCAGAACAGATCAAAGCCCAGGAAAGCTCCTGGCACAAACAAAAGAAGGAACTGGAACTGCAGTATTCTGAACTTTTGCTGGAGGTGCAGAAGAGGGCACAGGTATGCTCTCCATACAGGGCTAATAAAGTGGATTGCTCAGTGTAATTAAACATTTAAAAATCAGTTTAAAACTTCCTGAGAGCCTCTTAGAACTTGTTTAGATAGAGGGAGATACACACACACACACACACACACACACACACAGAGAGAGAGAGAGAGAGAGAGAGAGAGAGAGAGAGAGAGAGAGAGAATATGAATGTGTCTATCAGTATCTGTATGAAAGACTGTCTTCTACTTTGGTGTCCCGGCCTGCAGGTAAATCCACGGAGATCCTAGAGGGGGAGTGGGGATGAAAAGGAAACAAGAGACACAGAGGACAGAGACAAGATGAAGAAGTCCGATCAAGTCTCATTTGTTCAAGGAAAGAGTATCAAATATATAGGGTATTGAGGAGGAGGGATTTGGGTTCTGAGATGTCAGCAGGTAACTTAGCAACAGTGGCAAGACCAAGGGTTACAGGTCAATTCAAATTTCCTGCATAACGCGGGCTAATTAGCATAATCCTTTAATGAGCCAAACAATCTAGGTAGCAAGGTGCTACTTGACTACCAAACTTAACTCCTAGAGGGAGGTAAAGTTGAGTGGCCTGCAGATATAAGGTGGCAGCCAATTACTGGTCTTTGCGCACTTTGGAAGATGAGCTTTTCATCAGAAAATCCCTGAATGGATCGATCAATTAAATTCTAAAATTGTATTTCATTTATTTTTAAAACAAAGGTTAAGCAATCTGGTATTGTCAGTCTTAGTGTAAATTTCCTTTTTTTTTATTTAAACAAAAAGGATAAAAAATACAGATTTCAAAACAAAATAATGGGAAATTAACACTAGTTAATGTATTGCATATTGTTATCTTCAAAGCAGTAGTTTGGATTCCAAGATTTAGGCATTAAAAAAATGATCAAACAGTCAAACAATAAAAACACAAATTATTCTTTTTGATGAACAGATTAGTAGTATCGTTATCTATCTTGTATATATATATATATTCATACACACATATGTATACAATATACATCTAATCTTTTGCTTTCTTTTTTGCTTTGTCCTATCTCAATTCTTTTAAGCACTTTTTTCCTTTCTTCACACTGTCTATTGGATCTTACTTGCTCCTTTAGTTTTTTTACACTAGGGAGACTACGATATTTATAAATACTGTCTGATGTATTTCACTTATGAGTATGGTCTCAAGTTGCATCCATTTGCACATAAAAGCCTCAAGTTTATCCTTCTTTACAGCTGAGTAATACTCCATTATAGAAAAATACCACATTTTAAAAATTCATTCTATGACTGATGGGCATTTGAATTGTTTCTAAGACTTAGCAATTACAAATTGTGCTGCTGTAAACATGGGTGTATATACATTGCTATTGCATGATGTTTTCAGTTTTTCTGGGAAAATACCAAGAAGGGGAATAGCTAGATTGAATAGAACCTACAATTGTAGTTTTTTGAGGGATCTCTGCACTATTTCCATAGTGATTGTACCCATCTACACTCTCACCAACAGTGGAGAAGCACGCCTTTTCCCCCACAGTCCCACCAACATGTGTTATTGGTTGATTTCTTGATGACAGCCATTCTTTCTGGAGTAAGATAGATTCTCAGTGTTGTTTTATTTTGCATTTCTTGAGTGATCAGTGATGTTGAACATTTCTTCATGTATTTATTTGCCATTTGTATTTTTTTTCATCTGAGAAGTTTGTGTTCATCTCGAATGCCCATTTTTGGATTAGGTTTTTGAATTGTGGGGACCTGATACTTTCATATTCTTTATATGTTCTAGATATAAGTCATTTGTCTGAGGGACAGTTGGCTATATTTTTTTACTGTTCTGTGGGGAGGCTATCTTTTTTCCAGTGAACATGTTGGCCCCTTTGTCAAACATAAGGTGGCTGAGTTTCTTTGTAGTTATCGGGGCATCTTCTAATCTGTTTCACTGATCCTCACTGATCTCAAGTCTTTTTTTTTTTTTTTTTGTCAGTACCATGCTGATTTTGTCACAGTAGCTTTGATTTATCCATTTGTGAAGGTTCTCATGTTGTTTTAACCCATTTAGAGTTAAAATTTGTTATACCTACTAATATTATATGAAAAATAGAGTAACAGTTGTAGACCCTGTTGCAAAATAATTGACTGTGGGATGTATTGTATTTTCTTTGTTGGATTTGATTGAGAATAGAAATTATGAGTAATGTAACCATTTTTTCATAAGAATTATTGGCAGCATTACTTACATTGTTAACTATCATATCTGCATATCAGGAATAACATAATTGTATATAATTTTTTGGTAGTGAACTTATTAATAGATCACTTTTGTTCCTAAGGACCAGAAGGTTTTTTATTCTTAATTTATTATTATTGAACCTCTTCATTTGGTCCATTCATACATTGGCAAGTCTCATTTAAAGAAAACCTCCCTAAAAAATATTTATGTATTTGTGCAGTATATATATATAAAGTTATTTGTAATCTACCAATAACTAGTTTCAGGATGCTTAGGACCAGAACTCTTTGTATTCCTGAACTAAAGAACCCTCTATAAATTTATGCCTTTCTATATGAATTTGAATGAATCAATTAATACATTTTCTAAAAATAACCACTTTATATGCAGGCTATTGTATAACATGTTCTTCATTTCCTTCCCCTGAGGTAAAGGATTCAAACAGAATTCAGGTTTATCATCCTATATTCTTATTTTCCTCATCTTCTATCTTGTTATTGAAAGCACCTTTGGCAAGAAATCTAAGTTTAGTCATAAAAGAGTTATATGTTGAACCTTTTTTTTTTTTTGGTAACTGAATTTTAAGATAATATTCAGAGATAAACAGAAGTTTTGATAATTGTTGGAGGTTGTAGTTCCTCAAATATCCTAAGTAAAATAATTCATGGAGAGATGGTTACAGCAGTATTTATCTCCCAGTTTTGATGGAGTTTGAGTTAGTGTCAGTAGCTAGCTCTAGTGGTATTTGGAAAAAGCCTTCCATTTTCCTTATAACTGCTTTATAAGTTATTTTTGTTAATAATGCTTTCAGTTGAATTTGCATGATGTTTGATAGATTTTCATGTTCTTCATACTTTTGCATGTGTCCTCTTACTTGAACCCACCAGAGTCGGAGATCCATTAAACATTATTTCTGTTTCACAAATGAGGAAACTAAGGTTTAAACAGGTGATAAAACTTACATGTGCAAGAAAGTTCTAGGGATAGAAGTAGAATGGAGATAATAACAGAATATTTAGTACAACGATTGGCATTTAGGAATTACAAGGACAGTGTTGTGGGCTATTTAAATATATTATTGATGTCCTTCATGTCCAGTCCTTTTTGCCTCATACTATAACAGTTTCTTTTAGAAATATATGCTATTTTTGTGTATAAAGTAATATATGAAAATGGATCTAATAATAGCTCAGGTTTTCGTTTCGTTTATTTCTAAATGATTCTTGGTTAATTAATAATTAAACATGATGATATATGGAAAAACTTAAGTAGTTTCAAATTGTTAGCCATCTACACAAATGAGTGTTTTTAAAATTTGTGTCATTAGTTTTTTTCTCCCAAGAAACTGAAGTTTTTGTATAGGACACTGTATTTTAACTGCTACTATAGGTAAGAAGACCATCAAGACAGCTTTTATGTAATTATTTAATGTGTATAAAAATACTTTATATAAGGTTGTACATAATGAATTGCCAAAAAATGTTATAATATTAGAAGGAAGGAGGTGGCCAAAGTTTGCAAAGGCTTCAATAGAGCCGACTGAAACTCTTTCTAGAATCTGAAAGCCTAAAGCAAAGAGAGTCATGAAACAGATCGGAATTCAGAGGTAGTAATGCTAACTTTCTAAGTACTTTAAGGTAATATTCTTTAACAGTCAACAAATCAAGCATCTTACCTTGGATTAATACATTTAACCTAATGATAAATAGAACTATTTTTTCTAGTAACTTTTTGTATCCAAAAGAGATTTTATAATTTGCATTGTTTTATAAACAAAAGAGTAAAAGCAGGCAGGTATCATTTTTAGTGCAGAATTTTGACTTGCTAGACTTGTATAGTATAATAAGTTAAGTAAATAATCAGGTAGTTTGAATGTGTGTATAGTAGAGTATGTGTGTGCATGTGCGTGTACACATACCAGACTTTAGATCATATGTTAATCCTATGTTTAAACTTTGAGGAAATGCCATGCTGTTTTTGAAAGTGTGATACCATTTTTATATCCTATCAGCAGTTATGAGGTTCCAGTTCCTCCCCAAAATTCACTTTAACAGTCAAACATTTACACCATAGGGAGAACGGGTGAATTTGTTTTTATATTTTCAATATTACCATTGTGCAAAAAGTCAAGAAAAAAACTTGTTAAAAAAAGATATTTTAGGGCTGGGAATTTAGCTCAGTGGCATAAGCGCCTGCCTTGCAAGCGCATGGTCATGAGTTCGATCCCCAGTACAGATTTTAAAAAAAAAAGATATTTTAAATGAAGTCTTGTGATGTATCTTTACATGACCAGTTTCCAATTTATGGCAATATGAAGAACAAGAAATAAGCAAGAAAAAATAATCACAGGTACACAAAACAAATGAATAAACAAATTTTAGTCCCTGGTGAAGTGTGTTAATTTCTGCATCAGAGTTTCATAGTTCATGGAGTTCTGAAAGCCAGTAAGGTGTCCCTAAAAGTTTGTGTTTCAGGAAGGAAGCACATGTTTCAGGAAGGAAGAGTTGTCCTTTCTCTTTGCATTTTGGATGCTCTTCGGATTTTTCAGCAAGTAAAGGAGCACTAGTGAAAGTACCTGGTACTTTTGTTATGCTAAAGACATCAGTGTAAAAGATATGCATCCTAAATCTTCACTTTTTAAAAAAAGTTCAGGATAAGAATTTTTAGGGTAGGAATTTCAGAATATTGTTTTTTGAAGTTAAACATACTGAAGAATGGTGTTATTTCAACATTGAGAATGCTATTGTCCCATGTGAAAATGTTCCACGTG